AAATGAAAAGTTCAGAAATAAATGAGATTAGTGGCTTTGTGTGAAGAGCTGCAAAGCAACCGCAACAGCAGGTTTTCGAGTAAAGTGCATCAGACACATCAACAACTGAAAGGTCAGTTCAGTTTTCATGAGCTTATACATTTTTCATCACATACATTAACTTTCATTCCAGGTACATTATTAATGAGTGCAGTGGGGGAGGCTGATGAAGTGAGAGATTGGCAGGGTATAAAATAGCCTCAACTCCACATTCTGATGTACCCTACTATTACATCTATTTATTGATCAGCTCAGCTCCATTTCTAGAATCAAATCACTCAGCTGTAGCAATTAGGTAAGTCTTCACCTGGAGTATAAATAGAAAGCAAACGTGCTATCCCTTTGTTTCAAGTCCTTCACCATGTTTAGCAAATTTGTTCATTTTACCAAACAAGGTCCAGCTTGAGTTCTTTCTTTTTAAGAAAAAGAAAAGATACAGACAACTGTTCTTGTCCTCTGTGCCTTTCCTCGACTCCAGAGCTGCTGATATTAGAAACTGTGACTCTTACTGCTCAGCAACACAGTGGTGTGTTATCATAACGGCATATCTAGACGCGACATATCTTTGGTCGTGTTGAACAAAGCAACCCAGAGGCGATCCTGCAGGTGTTAATGGTTTGGTAAACAGTTTTTAAAATTCCCATCATTAGAAAGTCATTAAAAATATCCGAGCAATCTTTAAGGCATAATGCCAAAATGAATAATAGGGGAAAATTCACCCAAGTGAATTGATTTTCTTAATACATTCAGATAAAACTAAATACTACAAAGTGAAGAAGATTAGTGTCACTGAATATATATATATATTTTGGGGTCATGACTTTCTTCTCAAAACTATTAGAAAAAAAAGTCAGATAAATTAAAGTGTACTGAAGACCTTCTGGTGACACTTAACGGCCTAAAACCTCTTTTTTTTGGGTCAATCTAATGATCCATACGGTGTACAAATGCTCTTAAGTTAATAAAAATCTGGCTAATATTACTGCAAGAGGAGGTGCCATGTCTTCATATTTAAACAAGACACCCCCGACATTAAAAATCACCTGCCTAATATTGTGTAGGTCTCCCCTCATCCACGAAAACGTCGGGCTTGCTGAGGTGCATGCTGTAGGAGCTTATTTCGATTAGAATCTGGGGATTTTGGACTTCTTGGGCTCTCTGTCATGATCCTTCAGCAGTTTTCGATTTAGCGCTGTGAGGTGCAGTGTCTGGCCATCAGGCAGTGGTTTTGCCTTGAAGGAGAGCTCTTGGCAAGCAACAGTATTTAGGTGGGTGGTAGGTAAGTAGCGTCCACTGTGCTAGTGCCAGAAGCCAAGTTTCTAACATAACATTGCATTGAAATAAGTTAATCAGTGTTACACACTTCACCTGTCAGGGCTGTGGTTAATCTGTGCAGTGTTCAATCACACAGTTAGTGCTTGGAGGAAACAGAGCTTTTAAGTGCTGGCCACTAATATCTCCTGTAAATGAATCAGTCGCCCACAGTTAGATGGTTGTTGGCTAACTGATAAATGATTATTACCTTCAATTTGTAACATAATTCACCTCATAATGATCAATTATGTGTAATAGAGACTGGTGAGACTGAGCAAATGAGAGCATAATTACAGAACTGCCAAAGAAATTTATAATGTAATTTTTGAAATTCATGGACATTTTCTGCATAAACCTTCACCTGCTACAGATACATGACTTACGTATAACAAGTTATGGGAATAAGTCCTTTCTAAACAAAATAAAAGCGGTCTTTCTTTCTATGTAATGCTATCTAAAGAAATAGCAGAATATAAAGTACATCAAATAGGTCCTGAAGTGTACACCACTGCCATGATGTTTCACAGCAATTCACAGTTTAATGATTTTTCTCGGACTACGCAAAAACCAATCAAAATGTCATGTATTGTAATTTGAAAATATACGTTTTCCAAAGCAGCATGGGTCGGCAGCATGTCAACTGTTTTTGACCTTTTTTGAATAAGCCATTGTAGCAACAACTCTATACTAAAAGAATTTGAAAGCAGATATTAGTCATTGTTATTGATATTTCTCCAAGAGACGTAGGAGCATGGAGCCTAAAAAAAGAAAAACTGCCCACCGAAATGCCACAGAAAGGGAGCCCTTTTCTTAAAATATCACACCGTCTCGCAGGGGCTGCTTGCTGTGTGCTTGGTTTATTACAACAAAGAGAGCATAGCTCATGCTGCAAACCCAGCCAACTACAGGAGCCAAATGTAGCATGCTTGTGTAAACGCTGTCAAGAATGTGGCAACATTTTAAGACTGTACCATTATCTACTCCGCTGACTCAAATTCAAGCTCGACTTTAAATCAAAATTTGCACAGATGACCGATTTGCAGAAAAGTTGTCACCGATTACGTGCAAATCAATGACAGTTTGAACAGTTTGAATATACCTGTTCAACTGCTCATTAGCATAACTGATCAACTGATCATGACAGCAACTCAATGCATTCAGTCATGTAGACATATTCAGAACAACCTGAACACTTTTTCAGCTGTTGTTGAAAGACAGAATAATACCCTAATACACACACATACAGAAATTGCTGATCTACTATGATTTTCCTGCACAAACACCTCTGGGGTTTACAGAAAATGCCTTGTTGATGCCAGAGGTCAGGGGAGGATGCCCAGACTGTGTTGAGCTGACAGGAAGGCAAACCATTTGTTGCAAGGTACGCAGAAGAGTATCTCTGAACACAGGAGATGGGCTAAACACTGGGCGCCACTCCTGTCAGCTAGAACAGGAAACTGAAGGAACATTTTAAAGTAAGCTGGACAATAAAAGATTGGAAAAATGTCGCCTGGTCTAATGAGTCCCAATTTATGCCGAGACATTTGGATGGTGGGTCAGAATTTGGCATAAACAACATAAAAGCATGGAACCATCACACCTTGTATGAACGATTCAGGCTGCAGTTGGTGTAATGATGTGAGGGTTTTCGTCGCATACTGTGGGCCCCTTAGCACCAATTGAGCATCGTTTAAATGCCTACCTGAGTATTGTTGCTGAGCATCTCCATCCCTTTATGGCCACAGTGTACCCATCTTTTGATTGCTGCTTCTAGCAGCATAACACACTATGTCACAAAGCTCAATCATCATCAGACAGTGAGTTCTCTGTACTCAAAAGGTCTCCAGAGCCACCAGACCGCAATCCAATAGTGTAGCTTTGGAATGCGGTGGAAAGGGAAATTTAACATCATGGATGTGCAGCTGACAAAACTGCAGTAACTGTTTTATGCCATTATGTCAATAATAAAATAATGCTGAATACCTAGTAGAGAGGTGTAATAATAAAGTAGATATAAACAACTGATCTACTAATCGGAAGGTTGGTGCATTCTAAATATCCTTGGTCAAGATCCTAATCCAGAGTTGCTCTCTGATGAATCCATCGGAGTATGAATATTCGACAGAAAGCACTTAAGCATGGAAAGAAAAAAAGTGCTTGTATGAATAGGGGTGAATGAGGCATATTGTATCATGCTCTCAGAGTACTCAGATATAGAAAGCACTATATAAGAACTAGTCTTTAGTTTCTGTCACGAGTTATGTTTATCTCCCCTGTAATACACACAGACACATCATCATTGAAAACATGTTTAATGCTGCACCATGTTCTCAAATAAATGGGACTTTACACCATCTTTGAGGCTTTACAAATAGTATTACATTTTATTAATATATTTTCATAAAACAAGTTTAAGACTGTATCAAAAACTCAGTAAAAACATTAGATTTTTAACCATTTTTTCTTATGGTGATATCAGATATGAAATGTACATAATTCACATATTATAGTGGTTTCTTTGATCCCCCATCATATTGAGAATTTCTTTTGTGATGGGCAGGTAAACATTTTATACCCTCACAAACTATAAAGTCTTTTTTATGATTGTGATCATAAATCTAGACATACAATTAAAAAATAAAATAATTTCCCAATCTGCCCCCTCCCCCCGACTAGGTTTACTGATAAAACACTGACATTATGGAGTGGTTTAATTTCACAGGCACACAATTATGTACATCCCCTTGTCCCCATGCCTCATCTGAACTGACAACAGGCAGTGCACTAAGCATAACAGTGCAACACCTAGAGGCAGAGCAGTGATAATACAGTACTCTTACACCCACCCGCCCCCACACCAACAAAACCAACTGAATATAAGACAGTGGATCCAACTCATCGAGTACGTCTCCATTTCTCATACTGTTCGAAAGCACAGCATTCCTATGGCCCCTTTGTTATCTTTCCAGCATCCCTACAAGGTTTGCCTCGTGACCGCAGACATCTCACAGGCAGATTCAGTGGCACAGATGAACAAAAATAAAATCATTTGTTTTGTAACTTAATTAGGCTACAGCTACAACAGGCGTGATCAGTGTAATGTTCTTTTGTGATCTAGTACCAGAGGAATTTCAGTCATGTAATGAGTACAAGGATACATCCCCCCCCCCCCTCCTCATTCGACCACCACGTAATGCTTTCGATTCTGCGCAAGACACATAGTGCAAGGTTTAACAAGAATTTGCATAAGTGCAACATTTGCATGTTATTGTCGAGAGGGAGGCAAAAAGCATAGAAGAGAACAGGGAAAGACTCATGTCTAAGAAACAAACTAATTTTTTGTGTAAATAAAATGTTTCATGCTTTCAGTTTGGCATTATGAATTTCATTCCCCTCTAGAAATAACAGGTGCAAAATCTTAGTAAACCTAGCCGAAAAGACAGATAAGAGTGATATAGAACTCATAAAGATTAACATTGTGAGGAAGAGCCTCAAGTCTGTTGTCATGGTGACATCTGCTCAACGGCCCTGTGGGCTTCATTTTTTCCTGCTTCTTTATTATTTTCTATACAATAGAAATAGTACATCATTGAAGATAAAATTGACTCCTCTTGGCAAGAACAGACAAAAAAAAAAAAAAAAATATGCAAGAAGTCAAAAGCAGATCTGAAGGACAAAGAAAAATTAAACAGTTTTTCATCCATTCGCCCTGTGCCTGTAGTTGAATTGTATGATGTATTGTCTTATCCATGTTGGTGAGATATATGATTATGGTTGCCTGCTTCTCTATAAAGTCAAAGCCATTTCATTAAACATGTAAAATTACTCCTGTAGTAATTCGACAAGCATCCCTAGATTGCACCTGCTTTCAAAACTCAAAGCCCTTGGTGTGCGTTAGGGAGGCACATAGGGAGGAGGTGACCTGTACGCGGTCATGTTCTTAGGGCGGGAGCCTTTGCCCTCTATGGGCACAGTAAATGGTGGGGGAGGCTGGTAAGGTGGGGCATTAGGATCATCATCTTGATAAACTGAATATTCCTCCAACAGATCCTGGTTTAGCAGGGTGCTGTGAGGGCCAGACATGTTTGGGTATTCTGGAGGAGGAAGTGGGGGCTTTTCCTCCTGGAGGATAAGAGGAATGCTGGAGGACGGTGGTGACTTTGAATCATCCAACTCATCTGCAAATATTATTGGAACGCCCTTCTTGATGAAAGTTGCTTGCTCCTCTATGGTCATCTTCCCCTTACGCTTCTTGCGGTAACAAACCATAGCAATGATTCCAGCGATGAGCAGCAGGGCAGCTACTACTACAGCAGGAATGACAGTGTGCAGGTAAACGTCATCAGTGCCCTTAATTGGATCAGGTGAAGGCGTAGCTGTAGGAAGCTCAGGCATTGGCACCTCTCCTGGTGGAATGAATGTGTAATGTTGGCATTTATTGATGCCACGAACTGAGATGTTAATGGGTTTGAATTCAGGCTCCATGGCTTTGATAAAGACCACTTTAGGGGTTCCTTGGGGATCAGCAATCCTGTTGCTGAGAATTGTGATCTGGTCCTTTGGACAAGGACTCTGCTGGAGACTGTTATTGGTCCATTCCACAACAATTGAGCCCCTAGTGATGCTTCTTAAGGTCACTGTGCTGCTGTTCCGATCTCCCAGGGCATAAGCCAACTTCTTAGTCAAAAGAATCTTTTTATGCACATCATTGCTTAAAGTGTTGGGGTCACCATGAAAACGAGCAGCAAACATTACTGAAGGTTTGTTATTATTAGACCAGCGATGGACTCTAACCTCAAACGCATCCATGATACTCTTCCCCCCTTTGTCAGTGGCTAACATGAAATACTCATGATTCCCCTCATGTTGCTCCTCTGGAAGGCCATACAAAAGCTGGATAGTGCTGTTGAACTGGATCCAAGATGTTTCAGTTACTGGTTCTTTGGGTGTCTTCTTTAAAGTCAAACGCAGCTTATCAGTAGTACCATCCTCTCGGTCATAAAATGCATCAGCAGCAATCTTAACCTCGAAGTATGTTCCCACCCATGCAGTCACCTGATCAATGGGGTTGCGGATCTCTGGAGTTGTATTAGAGTCCGGAGCAAGAGAGAGAGCTGTTGTGCGCCTAGGTGGTTTAGGAGTCGTGGACTTCGGTTCTCGGGGAGGTGGAGTCGAGGTTTTGGGTTTCTTAGGTTTTTTTGTGGAAGAGGGCTTGGGTTTTTTAGTGGTGCTTGGTGGTGTTGGCACTGCAGTAGCTTCCACAAAAGTAGGCCGGGTCATGGTAGGTTGAATGGGGATAGTGCTTGTAGTTCCTAGTATTCTGGTGGGTTGGGGAGGTCCAAAGACAGGTGTGTGAGCTATCTGATCCCTGACCCTCATGGTAGGCTTGACTGGAAGGGGCAAAGGGCCTCTGACAGGTGGAGCAGAATTATCAGTTGCTGGGGCAATAGAGGGTGATGTTGGAGTGGGAATAACACGTGAATATGGCTCTTGGTTAATAGTTGGAGGAAGCAGGGAGGGCACTGGAGTAGGAGTATTGTACAACTGCCGCCTGACCCGTCTGACTCCCTGGGGCTTTTTATTAACAATGTGCCAGCCAACCACTGGATAGCCCAGCCTAGCTGACATAGTCCCATCCTTTGCTGAGGATTGGACACTGCTAATGTCAGGAACGCTGCCCTGGTCAAGAGCACATCCAACTTTCCATGACAGTAGGGCGCCGTTTTCCACCACTTTCTTTGCATTTCCTGGTCCAGCCATGAAAGCAGACATGTCAAATAAGCGGTTGTTGACAACAGGGACCACCCTCATGTGTTCCAGTGGCACATGAGAGAATTTCCTCATATTGCCCAGTAAGCTGGCCCTCTGTTCAGCAACCATCTTTGTCAAGTCAGCATCCAAGATGACAGTAAGGACAGTGACAGGCTCCTCAGAACCACAGGTGAAAGGCTGCAAGCCACCAATATCAGACTGAAGTGTGATTAGGGGTGGCTCAGTATCAGCTCGTTCTTCTGGGTATACTTCAATAGAGAAGACTGTACTGGGGAATACTTGGCTACTAGTCTTCTGACTTTGCTCCTCACCTGACACCATGATATGATATACACCTTTATCTTGCTCCAGAGCCAAACCTCTGAGAATGCAGCTCTCTCTGTCCCAGTATAGCCAGGAGGGTAAAGTCTCCCTTCCCATCTCAGTGAGCTTCAAGAGGGAAACAGGAAAAAACAAAACACGTCATTACCATTTTTTTTACAACAAAGATAATTTTGAGATAAAAATTGAGCACATTCATTGACTGCTCCATATCAGAAGTAGCTGCAAATGACTTTGAAAATGTACAAGGATTCAAGTAATATCAAAATTACCTGGTCTGACTAGCAGATTAAATTCTATGACACAGAACAAAGACAGACAAGTATATTTGAAGTAGTAATTCGAAGATTCATAGTCTTGTCTGGAAACATGTGATTTTATTTTATTTTTTTTTAATATTTCACATTGAACGAGCTGCCAGTAAACGGGACCGTCATTCAGTTCAGTTTATCAAATCCTTCCAAACATGAACAGGAAGTCGAGTGAGCGTCTATTCATAATAAGAACTGTGAGTCATCACTCATCATTTTGAGTTATTACTGTATGACAGGATATCATTCTGCATCACCACTTGGGCCAATAATAATCTCATCTCATTCGTAAGTCTGACTTGAACAAATTGAAACAAAGTCAGCTTCAATCAGCAGTGATACAGTGATCAAATCTGAAGGGTAAATGGGATAAGACAAATCTCCACACCAACTGAAATTCAAGGCGAAAAAAAGAGAGACAAGACTCAGAACAACAAAAAATAGGTAATGCGTTACATTTTGTTTCCTCAACCACACTTAAGTTCAGCTATACTTTCATTAGAGGCCCAGAAAAAAACAAAAATGTAACACACTTTTCTATATAGCTTTCATTTAGTTTAGTATAAGAATGAATTTTAACCTTGGGGGGGGGGGGGAGACGACCCTTAACATTCAGTTGTCTTTTTTTCTCCTACACTACATCCACACTGAAGAGGAATATGGTTGTATTTTCCAACAAATAAAAGGAACTCAAGTCTACTATGCAAACTTTATTAGTATAGACCATTTTTGTTACCATTTGTACAGCAACATTGTTTTTTTTCTTCACAGAGAAAGATTTTTTTTAAAATGTTAATTTATAATTAATAAATTGCCACATATATCACCATTAGATTCATCTCAATGATTTTGCTGGGTTTTTTTTTACCTGCACACTGCAGCCTGCATGGGCACGTCCTGGTGGTACCTTCAACTGGAACACCTGGCCCACAGTTGCTGAGGAGTCAGGGATACTGGTGTGCACTCCCTCATTCTTTGCAGAGGAATCTGGGACAGCTGTGGGCGGCCCTTCACCAACTAAGGATGCTGCAGCGTTGAGCTCAGAGAGCACAGAGGACTGCATGGATGCCTCTAGTTCCACAGATATCATCTCCACAAGTGTCTCTTGCTGTTCTGGTACTGTGCCCTGAGTCAGGGTCGCCAGAAGCCCCATTATCAGAGGGATAGTCCTGCACGAAATAAGCCTGCTCCCCCCAGCATCCCCACAGCTCATGTCTCTCCGTTTATAGTGCATAGCAATAGGCCTTTGGGCTGCCCAACAGATGTCTATGAACAACTGAAGAGGCCACATGCACTGAAGTCAAACTGATGATATGCTTGACAGTCAGATTCCTTAGTGATTGGCTATGCTTGAAAATGCAACGGTTTCTCTTTGTTGTCCTCTGTGATCCATGAAGAGATCTTTGGCAGCCTGCTAGACAGCCATGACATCTGGCTATATAGAAAAGAAAAAAAAAAATGAGGGCAACAAAGTGGAAACATACATAAAAACATCAGTGTAAACATACATCTATTATTACAGGTTGCGTGGTAGTTTCTACAGACATCTATTATGGTGGGGGGTTTTTGGCACTTGTTTACCAATTAATATTAATGTCCATAATTCTTGGTGTAAATATATGTACTACACAGTAGAGGGTCCTGAAAAATTGCTCAGTGGAAAATAAAAAGGATCTGCTATGACACTTCATTTTTCCATTTATTTAGAATGCTAAATCAGTAACAGAAAAAAAACCCTCAATGTCTCACTCTGTCACTGGTCCATAGCCCAGCTTCTAAGAAGGAACCCAGAATTAATACATAATGACAAACCACCACAAATGCCCATTACATTACACATCTGCCAATCCAAAAAAATTCACTTTCTGCCAAGAACCCTCAAAACACTATTTGTCTTATTTTATTGATATGCAAATTGGAGCTATGCAACTTTAAATCTGTGGTTTATGGTGTAAAATGGCAACAATTTTTAAGTTATTAAATTGTTTTTTGATATATTAAATGTCTGGCATCTTAATTTAGCTCACCATGGAGTCAAGTACTGTCAAGTATTATGCATGTCCTAGTGAATGAAAAGGATTTGAAACGGTATTAAGCTTTCTCACTGTAATCTAGAGCCACAACATTATTCAGGTAAGTTCCCAAATGCATTCTTCTTTTTTTTTTTTTTTTTTTTTTTTTTTAAAGTTCAATAACAATGTAACATATTGTTAATACATTTTAAATACATTATTAGAAAAAGAAAAAAAAAGTTGATCACCTAATGATCTTTACTTCTATGCCACGCCATTTTGAGTTATAGTGAGTCTCATGAGATGATGGAGTGTCAAAGGTTGTTTGTCTTTGTTGTAAATTTTAATTAGATGCCCTGGGGTTGGAATTAGAGTCTCCATTGCGCTGACCTAGCCAACCCCAATCCTGTAACACTCAAATGGGCACAGGAGGGTCAGCCGTTTGCCCAGAATCCTAATGCTTAACTCGCACAACGTATGACGTCAACAGACACACTCCAATATATTGTCAAATAGTGGCTACACTTGTCCCTCACTAGAATCCCTTTATGTATAATCTAAGCCATAGAAAAACAAAACAACAGTTTATACACAAATTGCTCATTTATCAATGCTTTATGCTGTCTGGAAAAAAACTAACAATAAAAACAATATTACCGGGATGATTCATACAAGAAAGCGCATAAAAACTAAAAAGGGCAGCTGTGCAATGAAAGGAAATGAATGAAAGGAAACTCACAGGAAGCAAGACATCACAAAATATATACACAAGTATTTACTTTACATTGGTGGGAGCACAGGCTGTGCATTATTGTTTTGCAATAAGCCATTAAATTTAATGAACATAATGAAAAGTAATCATTACTGAAATCATCCATGCATGAAACTCTGGTGTACCTGTAAACTGAAATGCAGCAGCAATAACTCTAATGTTCAGATTTGATTGTGTCCCTTACTCGCTCTCCTTTAAAAAGCATTAAGACAATCTATAACATATTTAAACTTGAATCTCTTTGGAAAAGAAAAAAAGAAAAGAAAAAGAAATTATAGTTGCATGGTGGTTAGCACTGTTGCCTCACAGCAAGAGTTCAATTCCACCATCAGGCCGGCGTCTTTCAGTGTGGAGTTTGCATGTTCTCCCTGTGTTTGCGTGGGATCTCTCCGGCTACCTCCCACAGTTCAAAGGCATGCAGTTAGTGGGGTTAGTTTAATCGGTAATTCTAAATTGCCCATAGGTGTGAATGAGTGCGAATTGTTGTCTGTGGCTGTGTGTTAGACAGATTGGCGACCTGCCCAGGTGTACCCTGCCTCTTGCCCTAAGAAAGCAAGGATAGGCTCACCCCCCACCCCGAAAAGGATAAGTGGAAGAGAATGGATGGATGGATAGTTCCTAAGAATAACTGTTACTTGCTACTACATCACTGACACTCAAACACCTGGTTGATCAATTTTATGCAAATAAGACAACCTTTAAAATTTGTACCCATTCTTAGTTCCTACTGTTATCCCCCCCCTGCCCCCAAACTCCTTACACCCATTTAGTAAGCCTTATTTGCAATTTGTGTATTCTAACTCAGCTGATTAAACAGCTGAATGGATGCATTTTCTCTACTGGAAGGTTTTCAATAGAAAGCAATGTTGCAGGTGGGAGTGATCAGAATCTCAGAGGGAATCTGAAATGGCAAATCCTGCACATTATTTGCAGACCTCTATCAATTTGCTCATTTCACTGCTTTAAAAAAAATAAAAAATAAAAAAAAAGGAAAAACAGGAGAAAATTGGAACATCCCTAAGCCAACACCTCTTTTTAAGGTGTTAATAACGTTTATAATATATATACACATATATAATAACCTTTATAATATCACACTGCAACTAAGAAGGCATTTGGATGGGATATTTACTTGACTAAAGATACCATGTTGCCTTTGTGATCTGAATTATTCTAAACACATTAAATGTTTTAATTTTAGTGATTTGCTTTAAGTAACTAAAACATGTTCTTCAGAAAAGCCAATTACGAAAATAACAGTTTACATTACTGTAAAATTTGTAGCTCAAAATATTGTCATTACTTTTGTGGCAAATTAATAACCTTTTCCTGTTAACCCGTCAAAATGTTACAACCAACAACTACTGTTCCACGTTTTAAATATAGATCGTTCAAGTTCTTTTTACAACAAGTGCACATTACAGTAGTTTTCAAGTCAACCAATGCCCCAATGAGACTAAGAGAGGACAGCCCGCAATTTATACAGATATATAGATACATATAAGACTATTTTTGTTTGCTTGTTTTGAGCTAATACCATGTGACAACTAATCAGGACACTAAACAGCCACACATGAACAACTCCAAGTACATATACTACAATTACCAGAAAGCTTTAGGTTTATATATGGAACAAAAAAACAACACAACAAAACTCCAAACCTAAATGTAATAAATTTACTGACATGTAAATTTGGTCACATTTGAGGTTGCTGAACTTGCATGTCTAGACTGTTACAAGCATCACTACCCTGTCTCCCAAATGCGGTTGGATGAATGTCTAAGATAAGGTAACAAAAAAAACAAAAAACAAAACCACACAAACAACAACAACAACAACAACAACAACAAAAAAAACCAAAACAAAAACAAAAATCACAGATCAAAATCCACTGCAGGTATGTTGTATCTCACTCTGATTTGGACTGTTACGACTACACTGCCAGATGGGCAAATGATAATATACAAGAAAAATTCACATTCTGTATCCCCCACCAGCTTGCTGAAGAGACATATCAGAGGAGGAGCATTTTATATACAAAATATATTTACACAAAGGCACTTTAAAACACTAGTTTAAAAAAAAAAAGAAAAAAAAAAAAGAGAACACAATGGATTTGTTCTTCAAATATGAAGTTTGACGCCTACTCCGCAAAAGAGTACTGAGTCACACCACACCTAACACATAAACCAGGTTGAAACATGTTGCTTATCTGGGATTTTTATCTGAGTCACTTCAGTGGGATTTCAATCCCCTGTCCCTCTCCCCCAGTTCTCTTCTGACTCCAAACCCAGGCAGTCTCTTTAACACACATACATCTTGAATTGACTGCAACATGCAGGCTGAGTGTAAAGACAAAAGGTACTGCTTGAGCTGTGTATCCATCTGTGCTCAAAATGTAAAACACAAACATTACCATGAAAACAGTTTACACCCATAAGCCTTATTTAGACTGAGCACCACACCTCACCTCAGGCTGCTGCCACACACAAATGGGGGGG